GGGACAAGGATCTTATTCTGTTCAGCATTCTCAGCCTGTTGTAAATGGTAAGTGGTGTATACACGTTTGTCGAATGGCCAAGTGCATTGTAGGTAGGAATTCTACCCTTCCCACTTCTTCCCTCAGCCTCATCAAATCTCAGCCTAGGAGGGAAAGGTTAGTCAGATCAGCAAACTTCACAGAGGACAGAGGACGGAATGGAGACATTTGCATAACAGGTGGGCATTCCCGCTTCACCTGAGCACCTCAGACAGCACCACTTCCAAAGGGAGCCGACCCTTGCTAAGCGTATCTCTGGGCTCTGCTTGGGTTCGGCCAACGGGAAACCCTGGCAAGAATTTGGAGGCTGGGAAGAAAGGGAGAGCTAGGTACTTCTTTCCCACTCCTCCTTGCTTTGATTTCAAAGGTTAGCTACACAGAACAGGATGGAGAAGATGGAAAAGGGATCTGGAAAAGGACATGTTGAAAATAATTCACCCAGAGATTGTTTCTGAGATGGAAATTTCAGAATGTTTGTCATCATGGCTCAGCTTTGGGGGAGGAGGCCCTGGGTTTAGTGCACTGTTGGGGTCTCCAGACCCTCATGTTGGCCTGTTCTCAGCCCAGAATACTGCCCAGGGGCAAAGATCAGATCACCAGGATAGACACAAGTAGGCATGAACTGAGGCAGAAGGCTGCCAAGTCTTTACCCAAAAGCACGTCTATATGGAAATGCTCTCTTGATGTAATACTTGATGTGGTTTTAAAGCTGTTTGACAGGCATTATTTCATTTGATTCCCTAATAACCCTTTGAGATAAATATTTTACTGATGGGGAAACTGACTTAGTCGACACTGCTGGACAAGTAAACTGTGAAAGAAAACAACAACCGGAGTCTACTGATATTCAGGGTGTGATCTTTCTGGTCTATGATCTATATCATCTTTAACTGATGTGGGCTCCATTCCCAGCTGAGCTCCTTATAAGCTGTGTGATCTGGTCATGTGACTCAACCTCCCTGTATATCAGTTTCTTCATCAATAAGACAAACACAATATGTTTCTTTCCTGATTGTTGTAAAGACTAGATGAGAGAGAGGGGCCTCTCAGAGGCTGGAAGAGGAAGCTACATTTGGGGTTTTCCACGGGAAGCCAAGACCAGACCTTCTGCAGGGCCTGAAAGCCTGAAATTGGTAGAAGGACCTGGGAGGGGCCCTCACACCTGGCTAATGGAGTGTGTGAGCCCTGGGCTTGTACAATTGCAACCAATAGGAGATTTTTATTTATTTTCATTACTTTATTTTTTTATTATAGTTTACATTCAACACTGTTTTGTAATAGTATTAGATGTACAACACAGTAGATAGACATTCATATAGGTCAGCAATGTTCAACCGGTATGTTCCAAGAATTTTTAAAACATGCAATACCTGACTATTTAGTCAGGGGCACTGACCTCTTTTTCCTTACATTGCCAAATTTTAAAAAAGTGACAACAGCCAACACAACACTAGCCATCCAGTATGAATGAATCAAAATTATGCCTATTTCATTTTTGTTAGATCGGCAAAAATATATGTTTTGGTGTGCTGCAGAATTTTAGTAATTAGTTTATGTGTGCCATGAGATGAAAATGGATGATACAGGTTACACAGTGTTCCCTCCGATAATTCAAGTGCCCACCTGGCTCCATCAATAGTAATTATAATATTAGAGGCCCAGTGCATGAAAATTCATGCACTGAAGGGGGGGAGTCCCTCAGCCCAGCCTTCCCCCTCTCACAGTCTGGGAGCCCTCAGGAGTGGGAGGTGACCTGGCGATCAGGGGAAGGTGACGTCCCCATCACACCTCTGCTGCTGCCACTGCTGGCAGCACAAGCCTCGGCCGGCCCTGGTTATCTGAGCCTCAGGCAGCCCTGGGTGGCTGGGCAGCCAACATCCAAGGCTTGCCTGCACCTCGGGCCAGCCCTGGGTGGCAGGGAAGCCACCATTCCAGGCTTGCCTGCACCTCGAGCCTGCCCTAGGTGGCTGGGGGGCTGAGGGCGGGTCCGGCCGCACCGTGTGCCTGCCAGCCCCCCGGTGGGGCTGAAAGGACTGGGGGACTCTGGCGGGGCTGAGGGGACTGGGTGCCTCCATCTTGTGGCTATGAGCGCCACCATCTTTGTGATGGTGTAACAGTCAATTTGTATATTCCCTATATTAGATAGGATTGTTAACTATATTCCCTATTCTTTATCTCTTTTTTAATGTTTTTAATTGATTTTAGAGAGAGAAGAAGGGAGAGGGAGAGAAAGAAACATTGATTGGTTGCCTCCTGTATGCACCCTGACCAGGGATCGAACCCACACTCAGGCATGTACCCTGATTGGGAATCTAACCAACAACTTTTCAGTGCATGCAACAGTGCTCAACCAACTGAGCCACATTGACCAGGGCTATATTCCCTATTCTTTACCTTATATCCCTATGCCTATTTTGTAATGATTTAGTACTTCTTAATCCCATCACCTTATTTTACCCTGCCCACCCCCCCCCCCAACACTCCTCCCTTAACACCCCTCCCCTCTGGAATCTATCAGTTTGTTCTTTGTATCTATAAGTCTGTTTCAATTTTGTTTGTTCATTTATTTTGTTCTTTAGTTTCCACATGTACTAGTAAGTGATATCATATGGTATTTGTCTTTCTCTATCTGGCAGAACTAAGCCAGATTTAGTTTTATTTTTTCTAAAAAAGGAAATTGGTCTTTTCTATGAAAAATTAAATGAAATAATTATGCAAAAAAAAAATCTACTTTCCACAGTTAGTAACACTTAGTAAATGCTGCATACTATTTCCTTCCCTATATTTAACACTAATGGGTAAGTGTTAGGGGTATTCTTGGACACAGCCTGTTCCTTCCTGGGCCTGGTGGGTGTGCAGGTTGGTGACAGCAGTAGCTGCTCCCCAAAGACAGGGCAGGAGCACCGTAGCTCACTCTCTGGGCTGGCAGCATTCCCCCGGGAGACGCAGAAACTGGCAGCTGGGGGAGCAACTGGAGGCAGAGCTAGTCGGCCCCCACTTGCCTGTAGGTCACCTCCACCACCAGGGTGGCCATCCCAGCACACCGCGTGTGTGTGTGTGTGTGTGTGTGTGTGTGTGTGTGTGTGTGTGTCCACTGCACGCCCTAATGAAAGGGGAGCTAGCTAGACCTCAGCTGTTCGCCACACTCTGGGTCCAGGGAGACAAACGTGGGCAGCAGTAGTGGTGAGTGTGAAAAAGACCTGTGCCTTCGTCCTCTGCACACCAAAGCCCGGTGAGGAGGCAAGTGCCCACAGGCACCGGAAGTGCAGAAAGAGCTTGGAGAGCGAGGGCAGAAGGCGCTCTCTCCCTCAGGGCAGCCCAGGGAAAGGCAGCCATGTGACAGCCTCCTGCTTGGAGCGCCCGCCCACAGAGCTGCCACCTCCATTCAGCAGTCTAGGTCCTGCAGGCTAATTAAGTTAATAAAAAAGAACTAAAGGAATGGAGGAGGGAGCTGGAGGAGGGGTGGGGGATGCTGCTGTGCTCAGAGTTAGGAGGTGTGAAAAATGAATCTGTCTTTCAATTACCAGCTTTCTAACCCCAGGCACATTACTACCGGAGGCCTGTTTCTTCACCTGAAAAATATGAATCACAGTTCTCGTGTCACAGGGAGGACCCTTGGAAAACCACAATTATCATATGCACACTAATGTCTGCACTACCCACACCAAGAAACATGCTGTTTAGTTCGCTCATGGCTGTGCTCATACGCCCCGCAGAGCCTGGCCATCGCAGGTGCTCAATAAATGTTTACTCAGACCTGAGCAGAAGGTACCGTCACAGCTCCCGGTGTTTTTAAGGGCATTTTGAGGGGCGCTACTATGAGGAACAAAAGGTTAGGAGAGCCTGAGGGTGGAGGCTGCCTGGTGGTGAGATCCTGGGAAGCTGCTCCCCACAGTGAGCCTGGAACAGGGCAGAAGTGTGCCTGGGGGCAAAGTCCCAGGAGTCCCAGGGGTCCCAGGTGAGGCCTCCTCTCTGGGGACCTTGCCCAGTTGATAGGACCAGCTCTGCGTCCCACCAGGTACCTGGGAATCCATGAGAAGGGCACCCAAAACAGCACAACCCCTGACAGCACTGGAAGGACAAATGGGAACCTGCCAAAATTTTGTTTTAAAAATACCAGCAATAATAAAATAGGGGGAATGATCCACTGACCTCCAGTGCCTGCACATAAATATCAACAGTATCAAAAAAGCAAAAGGGAAGGTTTTTTTGTTTGTTTTCTACAACAAATGACCATCATACTACATGTTCAAGAGAAAATTTCCTATTTGTTTGAGTATCTTATTAAAGAATCAGAAAGGCGTAACTAGTGCATTTTTTTTGGACTGGGTTTGCAGAATCTCAGTCATGCAAAGCATTCACCGTGTCCCTCATTTTTCTTTGTAAACTTTTAAAAATGTTCCATTAGATTTGGAAAATGTCTTCTTGTAGGAGGAATCTTTTGAAGGACCTTCTATTTTTTAATTGGGTAAATTTAGGTTTTATACTGACATGAAATGACAGAAAGGACTTACAATATTTCAGCATCTAAATTTGGCAAAACATTCAAAACAATTTTGTCTCAAAATATTTGTCAAAACAGATAATAAAAGTGTTGGCAAGGATGCAGAGACATTGGAATTCCCTTACATGCTGATGGGAGTGTAAAATGGTCCTGCGACTTTGGAAAACAGCCCAGCAGTTCTCATTTTTTAAGAAATAAAGTTTTCTCTACCTGCACTGGAAAATCTGCTTGTAACACTTCGAACACCAGGGGAGTGTCAGCCAGGCTGGGAGACTGACCTCTCGCAACTAACATCCTTCTCTTTGTCCTACAGTATGTGTCCAGCTGTCGTGCCGTCACTCAGAGTGCACCAGAGCAAGGTGGCTGCCCCCATCACCACCTCACCCACCACCACCGCCACCACCACTCCCACCACCACCCCCGCCACCACACCCACCCTCACCACCTCCACCACCAGCAGGCAGAGCTGCGTGCCACCCAGGTGACGCCCTGCCTGTGCCCCCTGTTCTCCTGCCAGTGGGAAGGCCACCTGGAGGTGGTGGTGCCCCACCTGCGGCAGACGCACAGAGTGGATATCCTGCAGGGAGCTGAGATCGTCTTCCTGGCCACAGACATGCACCTCCCGGCCCCGGCTGACTGGATCATCATGCACTCCTGCCTCGGCCACCACTTTCTGCTGGTGCTCAGGAAGCAGGAGAGGCATGAAGGGCACCCCCAGTTCTTTGCCACCATGATGCTGATTGGGACCCCCACCCAGGCCGACTGCTTCACCTACCGCCTGGAGCTCAACAGAAACCATCGGCGTCTCAAATGGGAGGCCACCCCCAGGTCTGTCCTTGAGTGTGTGGACTCGGTGATCACTGATGGGGACTGCCTCGTCCTCAACACCTCGCTGGCGCAGCTCTTCTCCGACAATGGCAGCCTTGCCATCGGAATCGCTATCACTGCGACAGAGGTCTGCTCCTCAGAAGCCGAGATGTGAAGTGACAGGCCACCGGAGGCTCACACACAGCCACCCTCCTCCAAGAAACTCTGCTTGTGCCCTTCAGATCTCCAGATTCCAGGACTCCACACTCCTTTTTATTCTTCTTTCTTCACCACCTTCCCTTCCTTCCTTCCCTTCTTCCCTCCCTCCCTCCCTCCCTTCTTTTCTTTTCTTTTTTTTGTCTCAGGTGCTTAGGGGTATCTAGTATTTGTCTGCCTTGGGCATTATATTATGTAAACATCCTGTGATTCAAGATCTTGGTGTAATGTTTGTCCTGATTAGTTGGAATAGTTTTATAGAACATTTTTAATTAATTCAGTCAGAATGATTATTATCACCCCCCACCCCCCAATTCCCTCCTCCATGGCTTCCAAAATGAGCAAAATTCACCGAGACCACGAAGCAGACTGTTGGGGTTGAAAAGAGACTTGGTATCCAAACCATTTCTTCCTTCCCTTTTCAGTCTATTTCAGGGCAAGCTAACTGAAGTGTGTGAGAACAGCAGGTTGGGAAGGGGACCTGGCCAGTTCAGAGATATATTTCAGACCAAGCAGACACAACCTCAGGGTTGGAGCTGCGCTGCTGGATGTGAGCAGATGGTGTCTCCTCAGAAGGCCAGGCAGGGCCCAGGGCTGGAGGCGCCATCACACAATGAGTCTTCTGGTTGGTCCCAGGGCTCAGGGGAGGGGCAGACAGTGAGCCCCTTTGGCAGGCTGCTGTGGGCTTGCTCTCAGCCTGTGCCATCTTTTCCTGCTCTGGAATCAAAGTCCTCATATTTCTGGTGCTTTCTTGAAAATCTCTTTGCCCTCCTCTGAGCAAGTAGTAAAATACAATGGGCAAGATGTGGGGAAAGAGAAGCAGCTGAAAAAAACACGGATAAAATTAATCTCCCACCTCTGGGAGGGTGTTCTCTACTCAGAGCGTTTTATTATCAAGTTAAAAATCCATCAGTCCTTTCACTAGCTTGGAGCACTTTTCTATCACACAAAGAACCCCCTGTGCTCTTGGAACCTTATAAACCAGAACCACAGCTCACCATCAGATAGGAGGAGCTTGGAATCTGTGCCCAGATCCTTGGACCTGGAGGGCTGGCCCAGGTCCTCATACATCAGGGAGGGTCCTCTTACCTTTCATTATTTTCCAAATTGCTCTGAGGGCCCCATTCAGCGCACAGATGTTATCACTGGTCAAGTGTGTATTCGGCACCCTGCTGCAGTGTGACTGAAAATCCATGTTGCCTCTAGGTAGACGGCTTTCTCTTTTTTGGTTGTTAGAACAATTTGTCAACATCTTATTGAAATCTCTCATGTATTTGAAGAAAATAGCATGTTTAGTCAACTTGGTCTCTTCTGTTCAAGGTGGAATATCTGTAATCTTTCCCCAAAGGCCCTCTTCTGCCTTCTTTTTGTCATTTTTGTGCTCCCCTTGGCCACTCTCCAGTCACTGAAGAAGCATGGCGCCAAACCCCACACAATGCTCATCAGAACCGAGTGGGCCTTTCGCCAACCAATGCTTCACTCCCTCACCCCAGCCCCTTGGCTGGATCCTGGAAGGCCTCCAAGTGAGTACTTAGTTTCAGGCAGCTTGCCTGGCTGGCCACCAGCAATCTTTTCCCCACCAAAAATAATCAGCCCTGAAACACAACGCCCTTCCCTTAATGACCAGGTAATCCTCTAGCCACCTGTCTCACCCACCCACACCGCAAGCACATGAAGGGTGGTGCCAGTCAACAGAAGATTTAATCACGAAGCCCCTCTAGTCACACAGTGATTGCTAGGACCCTGGGGCTGAGGTTTCCTTCTTTTAGAGCTATAAGGGGACCAATAAATATTGTGTCACTGACTGAGATAAGCATCAGATTACAACCTCCTTTCTCTTAGCTTAGTCAGAACATCCTACCAGGGCACCAGTGCCCCCCTCAGACCATACAGATGATTAAGAATGGAAGCAAACTGGGGCCAGTTGATCAGCACTGGAGAGACTGGCTCACCTGGCTTCTTGCTTTCTCCCAGGCCCTCGCCTGGAACCCAAGACCTCCTTGCAAGTCTGCTCCCTCTGGAAGCTACAGTTCCTCCCCGGTTTCTGCTACTCAACCGCTTTTATAGCATTTGTGTAGCATCACAGGTGCCCAGATAAATAAACAAACAAAACCTCAATTAGAGCATAATTAGTGTTCATGGAGCCTTAGGACTCCTGCAAACATTACCTCTGCCTTCTTGTGCCAAGTTACCTGAGCCAAACTGGGAATGACTTCACATTATTGCTATTGCTCACAAGACTGTCTTATGAATAAGTGACCCTAGCTAGGAACCGATATTTTTGATTACTAGAAACTTTTAGCATAAAGGGTAGAAGTGCGTTATTTTTGTCCATCTATGGTGCTGTCAGGAAGGCCTTCTCTCCATCTCTACATGTGGAGAATGGAAGCAAAAGGAGCCAACTGGAAACAGTGACAGAGACAAGAGATTGGTTCCAAGAACAGGGACAGAGATTGGTACCAACAAAGCACATTGTGTTGAGCTTTACAGTCATAAAGGGCTCCCTCATTTGAGTCTCAGGTTAATCCTCATTAGTATCCTCAGTATCCTTAAAAAAAAAAAAAAGATTCAGAGACATTAAATGACCTTTCCAAAGTCACAAGTGTTTGGGACCATGACTAGAACCCGGTAAATCAACCGAAAATTTGATGTTCCTTCAATAGGAAATCTGACCCCAAATATTCAGCAATGTTCCCACCTCATTAGTGTACTGTGGGCCTGAGGGTCAACTGGGTCTTGATCCTGGGATACTTGGGGAAGCAGACAGACAGATTTGCTCTTAGAGGCATATCAGCTTGAAGAACTGGTCAACTTAGAAGTGGCTGGGCGGGGGGGGGGGGGGGGGGGATGGAAGGGCGTTTGAGGTGTGGGAACCCTCATGTATCTGATCACCCACTCCAGGCTCCTCATTCTTAGACTCCCAGAGCCCTGGGAACTGGTTGCCTCATTCCATTCCATTCAGGTGCTGCCTTAATTATGCACCAAAGAGTATTTGCATTTTAAAAGCTGGCCTGGGGAGAAGACAGCATTTAACAGCAAGACGTGAGTCACCAGTATTTGAACTTTAGGCACCTGTGAGGGCAATTTTTTCAGGAGCTGTGGAGAGGACACTTCTGCCTCTGCCGCTGACCCTACATAAATGGTTGTTGCAGAAATGAAGGTCAGGCTACACAAAGAAGATTGTCTTTAACAATCAATCTCTGTGTGATCTTGCACCTGAGATAGATCCTATCATTGCAACTACTGTGGACAGTTTAGAAATAGATCAGGTTAATAATAATAGTAATACTCATGGCTACCATTTATTGAGGGTTTACTATGTGACCCAGTGGACTAACTACTTAGGGTATATTATCTCATTTAATTCCCATAACAACCTTATGAAGCAAGTACATTATTGTACCCACAAGAAACTTAAGCTAAGAGAGGTTAGACACTTGTTTAAGATTGCACAGCTAACAAATGGTAGAGCTGAGCCTGCAATCCAGTATGTCTAGCTCTAATGTCCAGATTTCTGTCCAATACCAACTATGTAATTTCAATGAATTCATGGACCAAGGCTAAGAAGGATCTTAAAGTCTGAATGGCATAGAGGCCTTTTGTACTTTAATACTAAATGTGTCCTTTTATTTCTCCTTTTTCTCCCTTTTTCCCCAGCCCAAGGCAGAGTGCTGTGCTAAAGGTGGCTTGTATACCAGTTGTTAAATTTTTAAAAGACATTTATGAGACAAATGTTAAACACAGCCATTATTAAAAATTAAATTGTATAAATTTGCAATTAAAGAAGTTATTAAACAAAGATAATACTCAAAACTCTCCACTTCCTAATTATTTCACTACTTTTTATTTTCTGTGCTCTAGAAGTTATTTCCATCTATCATAACTATATGGTGAGCACACTATATAATGATGTCCTACAGCACAACTCCCAACTTCACATTTAGTGACATGGCTTGAAATTGACCTTGGGGGTAGTATTTATACCATGGAAATTGGCAAGTGTTTTTAACTAGGCTTTTACCTCTCAGAGATCTAGTCTTTAAACAGTAACCAGCACACCACTACCTAGACAATTCTAATATACACAGGACTTTAAATGATGCAGCAAGATCCTGGTGGCCACACTGACAGGGGCACAGTTGACAGGCAAGGCAGTGAAACAGAAAATTATTGGGAAAATAATCTCTCTACCGAAGAGACTGAGGCTTCTAAGTTGCTTCAAGAGCATTCCCTGCCCTATTCCAGACCCTTCTTTATTGCTGTTAGTGTGGGAAGTTTTATTCAATGACTTTCACAGAAATATCATGGCCCCACAAACCAGCCTATTGGCCAGCCCAATCCAAAAAGTAAAACCAGGCTCTACAACACTGGTATCTCCTGTTACTTGTTCTTATAGGTCATCTTTCTTACCTCTACATGTAGCTCAAAACCCAATCTAAAGAAATATTTTATTTTTTAAATTAGAGATTGGAAATATCCAACACCTGAGAAGGGCAAAGTGAGCAGTGGTTTCAAACATCACATAAAATATGGAACCACCAAAATAGGACCCTTACATAGCACAAAGCTGAGATACAGGAAAGGGAATGAGTCAAGAAATGAGTCCCATGAAGAACAGAGCCCAGCATCTTACCTTTCTACTCTGGCTACTTCACTTCATTGCAACCCAAAAAGGACACTGTTCATAGTCCATAGTCCAGAGCAATACTTTTTCTAAATTAAGGGCATGGTTCCCACTAGGATAAAAGTCATAGGAAACTGCAGCCTGAGTGCCTTGAAACAGGCAGAATCTCCAAGCTCAATAGTGAATCAATTACTCTGATCCCAGTGGTTTCAATGTAAGGGAGGGAAGAGGTGAGGCTTGTTGAAGTTTCCACTTGGGTCCAATTTCTGATGGAAGGGGAAGGGACTATGGACTAGACATCAAAGAATTATGCTCTGATTAAAGTTCAGCTGTAAATATATTAAAGTTCAGCTATAAATAGTATCAAGAGTAAGAGCAGAGTCACCTAGTAGATTGTTAAACCTTCAGATTATTTGTTCAAAACATTTCTTTCAAGAATTGGTGAGTTCTCCATTGTGTTAAACTGGAGAATGGCCAGTCAAGACAAACAATGAAAAGAGGTCCAAGAGACCTGTTGCAGATAAGCATTGATTTTTTTTCCCCCAAAGCAGGTTATCACATGGGTTGCCTGCATGGGTTAGTTTGTCTTTTCCAATATTGTGTGGAAAATATTTTGCCTTGTGTGCTAGTCTATAAGTACTCCTCTCCCCTTTTTAACCTTTTTAAAAAGTTATTGAGATAAGGAAGAGAAAGGTAATCAAGAATCATTTTACTTAACCTAAATTGATGTATATTTAATTTTCTAGACTCTCTTATGATGTTAAAGACAAGAAGAAGCAAACTGAGAATACTACTTTATCTCGACCCTGTCTCCCATGAGAAATGTCATTAAATTGCATTTGATATTGTTTCCTTGAACCCTTCAGAGTGGCTCTATGTTATTGTTGCTTTTTTTTCCCCTCCCCATAGGCTACTGTGCAATATGAGAGAATAGAAATGAAATGCTACAAGGGAAAGTACAATTATCAGAGATTTGCCAGCTGCCACATTTGACTTATGTTTCATTATCTCCCTCCCCTTTTCACTTTGCCTCCATTTTAAAGTTATAATTGGATGTAGGAAAGAAAGTGCTACTGGAGGTGAATAAAAGCCTAGCAACTAATTTGCTCCCAATACTATTTCAGCATATGGTGCGAACCACTGGATTGCAAAGAAAGAAACAGGCCATCACTCCCAGCCCCCCTTCCTCCCTGTGCCCCTTATCTCAGCTGTCCCCTGCCTCTTCCAGATGACAGTGTCTCTGAAATTCACTTCTAGGCCTATCAGATCAGTTGTCAAGGGAGCCTTCATGATTTAATTCTTTAATTTCAGGCTACTGTTACTTACTGGCAAGATCAGGATTGAGCAAGAGTTCTAATCCTATTGCCTGTCAATTCCTTTTAACCTCTATCTTCCTCCCTACCTTCTTATTCCCCAGCCTGTTTCCTGCTCTCACAAAGGCTTATAGAGAATGTCTTGAATTGATCTGAGTGATCAAAACTGACCGAATGGCCAGCATGAATATTCATGAGCCAGGTTAGTTTTCAGGCATGTCCTCTTTGGGGACAATTCTGAACCCCACAGTGTCTCAGCTATTTGCCCTTCCCTTCAAAATACCTTCAAAGACGTGCAATGAGGTTGCCAGTGCTAGAGAGAGACTCCACGGGAGGAAGGGAGAAACTGACCTCCCGAAGTTCGGCAGGGGAGGGCGGCCAAGTCCAGGCTCCGCTCTGAAATCTAGAGTTTCAGTTCCCAGACGTTAGTGTATTTAAGAATTATCTGGAGAACTTGATTTCTGGGCCCCAGAACCAGAGATTCTGATTCAGGAAATCTGGGGTAGAATCAGGATTCTGATTTTTAACTCTCCCCATGGGATTCTGCTGTGGGTGTTTGGCTGACCATTAGATTCTCAGATCCAGAGCTGGACACACTGGCGAGAAAAGGGATCACAGAAAACAAAGGAGCAGATAAAGTCTCCTGAAGAAGAGAGCTGATCCTTCTGCAAGAGGGAGGAAGGCGGGAAAGGAGGTGAGGGAAGTGGCCACAGCCGCGTTCTAATGGAGCAGGAACTGGAGTTCCCAAAGGATAGCAGAGGTGAGTTGAGCAGGAGTTTCCTACAACCCAGCCGTAGAGAGAACTCTTCCTTGTCATTTGGGGCTGAAGGGCAGTGGTGGGCAGAATCCTGGAGCTCAGCAGATACCATCCAGGACCAGGGCTGACTGACGGAGGCCCCTGTGGAATGCTCCCCACTGCTAACTGTCACACAGTCACAAGCCTGCAGCCTGGTGCGGCTGAAGAGACTGCATAAGTCTTCCCTGTGAGTACAGAAGGGGCTCATCCTGCAAATCCTCGCCAGGTGGGGATGATAATTCATATTTCAATCTCTGCCCCTAGCCTGGACAGGGAGTTACCTACCAAATCCCCAGGGAGGCATTTATATTCCTGCAAATCTCTCCAGAATGGCTGAGCAGGCGGCAGGTTTTCGGGCCCTCAGTGGGGACTGTGAATTGCCAGGCAGCTTTCCCCAGCAGCTCAGAGCTAAGCCCCACGTAAGGCTTGCCTGCTGGGCGAGAGAGAAGGAAATCACTAAACTAGTCTCTTATCAGCCTGGAGGTAGACAAGATATACTCTGCACACCCTCTGCAAGGGGCAGGTGGGAAAAGCAGCTGTTAAGGATTAAAGTGGGAGCACAGATTACCACCCAGCTAGGAAATCATTGAATTTTCTATTCTCTCTGCCTCTGCCTGGGTTCCAATTCCAGTTTCAACAACACACAGGGGGTAGACATTTCTTGATTTTTATGTCTCACTTGACATGCAATTCTGGGAATTGCAGATTTGAAAATGAAACACAAATAAACAGGACATTAAGCACCCCAATGCATCAAAATGCTTTCAGATAATTTAAAAGGTTGAGCTCACCACCTATCTCATCCTGCTTCCTGCAAACCATGACAGGAGGT